AGTGCTCTCGATTTTGCATGGATAAGGCTTAAAAAAATAAGGTGGAAATACTCTGTATCCATCAGTTGGGTTTGAGAGGCTGAGGACAGTTCAGAGAGCTGGAAAAAATCCCAGGATCAATGTTTAAAAAATGGCAAATGGGAGGGTTTCTCTCATTATTGGCCTTCATGCTGAGGGGAGGTGCAGGAGCAAATGGGACATGAATTTAGGATTTTAAAAAATCCTAAATAATGATTTGTAATTTGTATCCATGAAGGAAGTTTCTCAGCAAATAGGTTTTCTTAGGGTTTGGAAGGAAACCATTCCTTCCAAACCATTGGGTGGAGTGTCAACCATTGGGTGAGGAGATACACCAAGGTTGTCATGGAGTGAAATATTTCATTTTTGGCAAAGTTGTTTTTTAGGTTAAAAAATTATGAATACACAGCAACAAGGATGTCAACCAAAACTGGGGAAACCCTGTCTTGACCTGTCAAAATGAATTTTTTTTTTTTTTTTAGCTTTTTTCGACCATGATGGGAGAGGGGACCTCCTTCTTTCTTGGCCCTTTTTAGCCCCTCCTTTTATTTAATGAATATTTTCTTTTCAGCTTTTTCCAACCAGGATGGGAGAGGGGAGCTCCTTCTTTCTTGGTGGAGGGAGGAAACAAATTTAACTCAACTCCTCATTTTTATTTTCCTTTGACATCCAAAGGGTCCTCACTGCTCTCCCCTTGCAAGAAAAAAAACAGTTGCAAGGCCAATCCCACTGGGAACCACAGCACCGCCAGGGCCATTGAAATTGAATCAAATTTTGTATTTCTCAGCATTTCTTCTTCTCAAATTACRGAATCACAGAATGGTGGGGGTTGGGAGGGACCTCAGAGCCCATCTTGTTCCAACTTTCCATCAGCTGCTGCTGGTTGGAGCTGGACTGGTTTGGTGGAACTCTATGGGAATGCTCAGAAAACAAAAATCTATTTCCTTTGGTGAACAGAAAAACTTTGAGAAAATAATTGCAATTAAATTCAAAAAAGTGAATTTACAAAAAACTAAAAACCATTAAAAAAACCCCCAAAAAATCACAAAAAACCCCCAAACTTTACCCATCCTATATATTATATACAGATAAAACCTAATTGTTAATTATATTAAAAAACCAAAATCATATTCAAAAAACAAACAAAAAAAACCCACAAAAACCCTATACATTATATACAAATAAAACTTAATTATTGATTATATTAAAAAATAAAATTATATTAAAAACAACAAAAAAAAAGCCACAAAACCCATCTTTTAACCCAAACTTTACCCATCCTATACATTACGCACAAATAAAAACTAATAATTAATTATTTAAATTGTTATAAAATACAAAACTTCTTTACAATAAACAACTTTACATACCAAAAACTCCAAAACAAAATCCATATGTCAATCACCAACAGAACTCAATGCAGCTTCTCTACAGAGATCTTAATTTATCCCTTAATTATCCCTGTGAACAAGCCTGGATTTCTCTGTTATTTAAAGCCAACTTTTTTCTCCTCCCCATCCACCATCCATTCACRGAGGATCCTTGTGAATCGTTTTCCRTGATTCTGAGTTTGGCAAACCCATGGGTTTCTTTTTTTTTTTCCTCCAACTCATCCCAATTTCCCCCAGCACGAATCATTTTCAGAGTCAAGATGACACAGACGTTTTCACACTTTCTGCAGYGCCCAAAAAGAAATGTCTGTGTCACCCAGCACGAGGGAAGGACAGCAGCAGGGAAATTCAGCACTCGCTCAGATTTTGGAGCTTCCATTTGCTTTATTGTAAAAAAGATTTTTTTTTTTTCTGCAATGCCATAGGTATTTTTCTTCTCAGAAATGATTTTAATTTGGAGAAATCACATTTTGCTGTTGGTCAGGGCTGAGATGTGGGTCTGCAGAGACACCTAGTGATGCGTTTTTTGTCAYGCTCTGATTTCAAARTTGCCAAAAGYGTTTCAGCAGCACCAAGCMCAGGRTGCCCAGAGCAATTTGGGTGCCCYTGRATCCCTGGCAGTGYCCAARGCCAGGCTGGACAGGATTTGGAGCACCCTGGRACARTGGGAAATRTCCCTGCCCTTGTCAGGGTATGGAAAAAGATGAGTTTTAATGACCCCTCCAACCCAAACCATTCCAGGATTCTATGAACTTCCTTGACTCTCAAAATATAAAATATATAAAATATTTTCTGCTGCAGCAAAACTGCCRAGCGTAATCGAATTTGGCTGACATTTACAATCTGAGGCAATTGGTATGCAAAAAATAATTTTTTTTAAAAATCTTCTTGGAGATATCTTTCTATATTTATTTGAAGGCAGAGCCTCCACTTCCATCAGGTCACTTTGGCTTCTCAGTTTYGTTGCAGAAAGACCATGAATTCCTTTAACAGCTCTTTCTAATAATTACCAATATTCTGCCTTTTTGGACAGCACTGGGATGGGAGAGTTTTGGGAGAGCTTTCCTCCACAACACAAAACCAATTTTTTCATCCCAAAATACTGTGGAAAACAGCTTTGACCTCTGTATCTGGAAACAGCAGCGTCTTGTTCCCGTTTTCTGATATTCCAAGTCAATTCTTAAAAAAAAATGCTGTTCTGGATGCCCTTTTTTAAGGAAAAATCATGGAAAAACAAGGCAAAGCTGGAGGTCTTCAAGCTGCTCCCAACTTCTGATTGCACCTGGCTGCWTTTTGGTGTTCTCCTGGTGTTTTATGAATATTTCCACCGTGGTTTTGTTTTTGGATGCTTGGCCGGGGCCAAATCCAAGAGTGTGCAAAAAGAGACTGATTTTTGCTCTCTGTATCCTGAGAAATACTAATTTYTCAAACTGAAAACCCCAGAAGATTGGAGGTGGGGAAGGAATGTTAAAAAAAAAAATGTACAAGTATTTTACAGCCATATTTGCATTTTTTAAATTAATTCAGCTGTGAGAAGGAATGTCTGGGAAGYGAAGGAAAAATTCACAGCGATTGCAGCGAAATTTCCAGATGACAAAAATAACAAAAGTAATGTGGCAGAGGCATTGGGTCCAACATCATTAATCCAGGGAAATACTCTTTTCTTAACCTAAATAATAGGACTATTGAAGAAATGCATCAAAATGTAGGAAAAAAATGAATAAAAGGGTGAAAAAAATCCCCTTTATTGACATTGTGTTCAACACTGGAGAACCAGCTGGACATCAAGGAAGTGATGCAGAATGGGAAAGTCAGTACAGAGGCAGAMTAAATAAAKACAGTTTTATTTAATTTATTTCATTTATTTCATTTATTTCATTTATTTCCATTGCAGTTAGGTGAATTAGAGATATAGTTATTTTGGGCTGATTTTAAAATGATCATTTTATCAATATTTTCAATATTATTGTAAAATCCTGCCCGTGTGGAAGCTTGGGGTACATTGCTCCGTATTCCCCTGTGGCCTCAATTGTGGCACTCCTCCCTTTYCAAAATGTCACATTAAATACTCAAATAATCATTTAAATACTTCAATAAATTATCAAATAATCATCCAATTTGGGGTCTTTTCCTTAAAGTAAAATTACAGCTTTTGGCTAAAAAAGTGTTCATTTTTGCAAGAAATTAGCTTAAAGCCACAAGAAATGATATTAATGGGGTTATCTTATTACTAATGGGGTTAATGGGATTGTCTTATTATTAATTTCATTTTTTATTCCTGTTGTGGCAAAGGGAAACTGTGGTGCTCATCCTCAATTTTAGCAAAGGCTGCATCATCCAGTCCCAGTCAAAGCACCAAAAAATTAAAAATGTTTGGAAAGAAAAAGATTCAAGAAATTCCTATTGGTTTTTCATGTTCTTTTTTTTCCCTTTTATTTTTTTTTATGGAAAAGAGTGACTGCACAAAGAAATTTTGGGGAAGATCCTAAGTGGGAGCTTTGCAGAGCATAAATCCTTATTTTTCCATCTATTTTTGTGATTGTAACAAAGGTTTACTGCTGTTTTTCCTGTTGAACCACTATAGGAAAAAAATGGGCAATGGGGCATATTTATTGTAAGGRGGAAAAATAAAACTTTCACTGTTGAACGTGTTCAAATGAATGAATATTTTCATGTTTTTGTGCAGGAGATGCTGCAGAGCTCTCCGGCCGCGCTGCCGCCGGCGTCCAACCCCGCGCCGGGCATCGTGGTGCCCGCGGCCACTCTGCCCCCGGGCAACCTGGCCATGAGCACGGGCAGCAGCTCGCCCGCCGTGCCAGGTAGGGCTCACGGGGCAGGCTGGGGGGCTGGAGGTGGAGTTTTGGGGTTTTTGTGCCCCCATGTGTGTTTTGTTCCCCAGGTGGAGCGCTGTACCAGCCCGTGACCATGGTGACGTCGCAGGGCCAGGTCCTCGCCCAAGCCATCACCCCTGGTGCCCTGCAGATCCCCAATGCCCAGGTGAGACCTCCCCACCTCCAATTCCCATTTCACCCCAAACTTTGCACTCCTGCACGCAGAATCCCCCAATTTTTCCATCCATTCAGCCCTTGGGGTATCTTAAATTTTTAATTCCCCTGAAACGTTGATGTGTTTGAGGTGCCTAAGAAATTCTAGCAATGACCTAAGAAGTCATAACAACACTTGTATTATTATTATAAAATATTCCAATATATAATCTCAATTCACATAATATTATTTTGTACAGTATATAACAATATCTAACAATATCTCTTATATTATGATGTATGATAGAACATATTCAGTTTTATTGTATATACTTATTCCATTTTATTTTATAAGCTTTATTTATTTATATGTTTATTTATGCACACAATACTGTGCATTGTATATATTGCATGTTCTATATTCTGTAATATTTGTTTATTACATATAGGATAGGGTAGGATTAGGATTAGGATAGGATAGGATAGGATAGGATAGGATAGGATAGGATAGGATAGGATGGGATAGATATTGCTGAAATTACACTATTATTATTATTATTATTATTATTATTATTATTATTATTATTATTATTACTACTACTATAGATCTGGGATCACTGGCATTGCCTGTCCAGAAATACAATCATACCACTCATGGTAAAAGCTCATTTTTAGGTCTTCCTTTCCAGATTTGGGGATATTTTTCAGCCATTTGCTCTGGTTTTATGCCTTTTTTTAAATTTCCCTTGCACTGCAATGAGTTATGCAACACTCCCTGCATTCTTGCAGCAAGACAGTGATTTGGAGCAGAACTGGATTTATTGGCACCACTTGTCCGTGAGTTCTTTCTAACCCCCATTCCCCAGGAATTTGGGACAAAAAAACCCAAAACCATCAATTTCTGTTGCACTGCTTCCCCAAGGGCAGAGCAGCAAAAATTCACCTCCATTATTTCCGAAATGCCTCATTTTAATTGCAGCAACATCTTATAAAACAATCAATAAAACACCATTTTTCAAAGGGGTGCCACCTCCTTGGCAGGTTTTTTTTTGCCTRTGCAATGCTTAAAAAATTCCTTTCTATAAAATCTCTCCACTGCAGGTTTAAATCTTGCAGCAGAACCCTCTGTGGTGGGAAAAACACGAGCACAGGGAATATTGGGGCAGGGAGAGAGCCTGGACAAGCACCTTTGGATGCTYTTCCTGTGCCACTGGCATGATTTATTCAGCTGCAGCCCAGGGGAATCACAGGGACCTGCTGGCCTGATGTTTAATTCATCCAGGAGAAGTGTTTTTGATGAAGACTTGAGGAAAAAAAAAAAGAAAAATCCCTTTTTAACTCGAGTGCTTAGATTTCASTTTGGTTCCTGCATCCTCATTAAAACTTCTCTTGCAGCAAGATTTTGAATTTCTGGGGAAGGGGAAAGTAAATTTTGGCTCAATGGGCACCTTGCTCCTGGTGGTGGAAATCAGCTGGGTGAGGAACGTGGGCTTGAAAGGGATTAGAGAGTGGCAGGGTTTTAACTTTCAGTCGAGAAAATCATCTTTTGATGAGGTTTGGGTTTTTTTTTACTTTATTTTTTAAGGTAAAAGTGTTTTCTTCCTAAACCACACATTGAAATTGGTCGTCATCACAGTCCCCCACAGTGCCATTACCCCTTGAAAAGCAKTGACAAAAAATTGAGATAAAAGATAAGAGAAAGATGGGAGAAAAATCTGCATTTACACAGATTTGGTGGAGCAGGAAATGGGTTTTGAATGCTCCTGTAAATGCCAGTTTTTTGCACTCATCCCACTCCCATTTTGGSTTGGTTTTGCTCTTTTTTTGSGTYTCCCATYRTGATTTTCAACCGATTCTCTCCTCATTTTTTATCCCTGGCAGGTGAACCTGGATCTCACCTCCCTCCTYGATGGTGAGGACAAGAAATCCAAGAACAAACGGGGCGTGCTGCCCAAACACGCCACCAACATCATGCGCTCATGGCTCTTCCAGCACCTCATGGTGAGCTGGAAACACCCTGAAAACTGGCAAAAAAGGACAAAAAAATCCAAAAATTCTCAAGTCCAGGTGGTGGCTGGGCTGAATTTGTATTTTTGGAGGTGCAGAGTGGCTTGAATTTTGGGAGTGTTTTGGGAATGACTGTTGTCACTGTGGGTGGGAAAATATTTCCTTGAGGGAAGAAGAAGAAAAAAAACCTAGAAGGAGACTCCCACAGTTTTTGAAGATGGATAATTGAGGGTTATTTTCCAGCAAGCTGGGATGTGAAAGCTGCCTCACAGGTAGGGTTTTAGAAAATCAGTGATCAGCCAAAACACAGAATTGCAAGATCACCCTGTTTGGGGGGCTTGGAGATGGAAGGCAGACGGAGCTTTGATGCAAAGTGGATATTTTCATGCATGAAGAGTTCTCTCTCATCAGCAGGGCTGGRAGAGGGGCAAAAAGCCAAAAATGCCACATTTTTTCCTGCATCATTCAGCCAAAAAAACACTTGGAAACTCATTGGAAAGGCTTGGTCTACAGGAAGATGGAGCAGTGGGAGATCCCAAAGGCATCAGGAATGCAGAAGGGAACAGCTCTGAGGAGCAACTTGGGGAAAAATCAGCCAGGACATGAAGCAGCAGCAGGTTGGGAACTTCCCAACCTTTTTTTTTTAATGGAAAAACTAAAAAAAATGGGAAATTCTGGATTTATTGCAATGAAGAAGAATGCAGAAAAGCGTTGCTGTGTCAGGCTGCAATCCCTGGCTGTGTCCTGCATCTTCTGAAGGGCAGATTTGCTGGCACAAAAAGGACTTGGAAACTGCAGAAAACCAGAAACTGCCAAGAAATTTTCTGCCAGACTCCAGGAGAACCCCATAGTTCAAGATTTCCTAAATGGATTTCTTCTGCTGGATGGTTGGGGCTTTGCCCTCAGCCTCTGGTCCTCGTGGTCAGAGGAAATTTGGGTTTCCCCACAAGATTTCTCCACCTGGTGTCAGAGGTGATGTGGTTTTTAACCAAAAATGCTCATTTTATTTTGGAGCACCAGCAGGAAGAAAGAATGCTGCAAATAATATATCAAAAATGGGATATTTCTRCCCAAAAAAAAGGTGCCATTTTTAACCACTGGAAGCCCCTGTGGGGAGTGAATCTSGAGCCTGCACTGACTTTGGGTGGTTTTGTTGAGGAAATCACTGTTTTGGGTGCTAACAGCTGAAAAACAAATTGTGGGAATTGTGACTGACTTGAGGCTCCAAAATGCGACACATGGGGCTGGTTTGATGATAATTTCATTTCTGGGGTTGGAAAAGAGCATTTTGGCACAGCTGGAGTTGAGTGCTGGTGGTTTCCCAGTGCTTTATTGAAGCATTGTGAGTCACAGTGGGTTCTGAAGCCCAAATCCCACATTTACCAACAACCATCGCTGGGAAATTGCCAGAATTAAAAAAAAAAATCCCTCAAAACATTTTCCTTCAAGGAAAAGCATTGATGGAAAGCCTTGGGAAAGCCCTAAGGGCACCTTAGAGAAATCTTGATGCTCTTGGATGCCACCCTTCAATCTTACATTCTGCAAATGCAAGAAGCCACCAAATTTAGGGTGGGAAAATAAAAAAAAAAATTAAAAGGGCAGGTTTTTATTATTTTTGACTYGGGAATGGCTTTGTGCATGCAGGGATGTCACTCTGCTCCCCCATCTCTCTTTTTTCCAGCACCCCTACCCCACAGAGGATGAGAAGAGGCAAATTGCTGCCCAAACCAACCTGACCCTGTTGCAAGTCAACAACTGGTGAGCACGTACTGGTGACCCATGCAGTCTTTGCTGGCTTTAGGACTTTTTCACCCTGTTTTGGTGCTGTGTGATGTTTTTTTTGGGGCTATCTTGGGGTTAAGGCTGATTCCTGGGGTGTCCTGCACAGAGTCAAGGAGTTGGATGATGCTGATGAGTCTTTCCAACTCAGCACATGCTGGGATTTTACCACTCTGTGATTTTTGGGAGATGAGCTCGGCTGTGTTTAATGCCAGCACCGGTTTGCAAGGTCTCAGTGCCCTCTCCTGGCAAATCCAATGTGCAGCATTCTCCCACTCAGCTGGGAGAATTAATGCGGTCCTATAACGTCCCGGAAGCAAATAAAATTGAAAAAAAAATAATTTTTGAACTATGGAGCTGCTTTCTAAAATTATTATTATTTTTACTATTACTATTATTATTGGAGCTGCTTTCTAAAATTATTATTATTATTATTATTATTACTATTTTTATTATTGGAGCTGCTTTCTAAAATTATATGTAAAAATATTATATTATATTATATTATATTATATTATATTATATTATATTATATTATATTATATTATATTATATTATATTATATTGCTTTATTATTAAATTACATGGCATTATATTGCATTATAATAATAATTATTATTATTATAATTATTATAATAATATTATTGTTGTTATTATTATTATATTGCAACACATTGATTTGCTGTGATGCCCTTTATTTTAGCTTGGTATTAGGGTAACAACTCTCAGTAATTCCAAGTCTCAGTTATTCCAACTCTCAGTTATTCCAAGTTATTCCAGCTCTCAGTTATTCCAAGTTATTCCAGCTCTCAGTTATTCCAAGTTATTCCAGCTTTCAGTTACTCCACCATTTTCTCTTTTTTGTGGAAAGGTTCATCAACGCCCGGCGGCGCATCCTGCAGCCCATGCTCGACGCCAGCAACCCGGACCCAGCGCCCAAAGCCAAGAAAATCAAATCCCAGCACCGGCCCACGCAGCGCTTCTGGCCCAACTCCATCGCAGCCGGGGTCCTGCAGCAGCAGGGYGGCAATTCGGGGACAAATCCTGATGGTAAGGAGCAAACACAAACCCCTGCCCTTCCAGGAAATGGAGGACAYCAAATTATGGCCTTCATTGGTCATTTCGGAAATAGGAAATAGGGAAAGGGTCAAAAGAGGGAAAAAGGAAAAATCGGGAGAAAAGGGGAACACGAGGTGGCCCAGGCAAGAAGGAGCTTCCAGTTGGCCACAGAGAGCACTGGCAGTGGGGCACAGAACAACCCTCAGTGATCACCCACAACGGGGGGATTGGGACATCTCCTGAGGGGCTGTGCAGGGGAGAGGAGACATGGAAAAGGTGGAGGTGAGAAGATAGATGAGACAAAATGGGAAGAGAGAAGATGAAATCAGATGGTGAAAATAAAGAGGAAAGATGAAGATCAGAGGGCAGATGGGATAAGGTGGGAAGAGAGATGATGGACAAAGAACAGAGGAGGAAGATGGAGAAGATGAAGAGAGCTGAGATGAACATACACCAGAGGAGATAAAGAGGAGGAAAGGTAGGACTTGAGAGAAGATGAAGACAAGATCTGCCCAACCAATCTGGGCATCTGCTTGCTCCAAAGTAAGGTTTCTTGTTATTTAATGATGCATTAGGTAGAAAAATGAAAGATTGAACCTTTGGGAGTGACAGGGGTAGGTGGGACGCCCTCTGGGGTGCTCTCCAAGCTTTTCACTTGAGTTATTCTTGGTTCAGGCACTTCTTTTGTCCTTTCTGTGTGAGCAGGGAGTCCTTATTTCTGTAATTTTGTGATTGCAGGCTCRCTCAGCATGGACAACCTGCAGCCCCTCTCATCAGCCACTGCCACCATGGCCATGCAGCAGGCAATGCTGGCAGCCCACGACGACTCCCTCGATGGCACCGAGGAAGAGGAGGAGGATGAGGAGGACGAGGATGAGATGGAGGAGGAGGAGGAGGAGGAGGAAGAGCTGGAGGAAGAGCCCGGTGGCCTCCCAGCAGCGCCTGGTGCTGAGCTTGGTTTGGACCACAGTGACTCGCTGGAATAGCTCCTCCCGCACCTCCCAAACCATTGACAGCACCAGTTACAAAATTCCCCCCGAAATGCAAAAAAACAAAAGGCAAGAAAAAGAAATCAGTGAGAAAAAAGCCAAACAGGGGCGCTGGCAGATGACCCGGCTGCCCACGGCAGCGCACGAAGTGAAGGACACACGTTTACAAGGCACATATTGTGGCCAGAATAATCTTTCATTTCAGGTTTTATTTCCCTTTTCCCCCGCATTTTTTTGGTAAGCAAAAGTGTTTTTAGGGAAAGCCTAAAAACCTAAAAGCCTAAAGTTTTCCCCACGCGACGCTCAGATGTGACTGCGGGTTTTCACCGCCGTGTCCATCCCTTGGATTTCTTGGTGCAAAGAAAAACCAACCCAACCCCGGGACTTGATGCTTTTTTGGATTTTTTTTTTCCCCAGAAAGGCCATTCACAGGCATAGATACTGGCATGGAGGGGGAAGGAAAATCATCAGCGAGCACAAATTCTGCTATACTGAGAGGGTTTGGTGCTCAACTCGTTGGATTGCCCGAATTCCCAAAGTTTGGGCCCAATGCTGTGGCTGTTTGGTGACTCTGGACACAACTTCCTGGAAAAGGGATGGAATTCCTCCAAATCCTTTAATTTATGTGCTAAAACCTCTGCTGAATCTGGGAAAAAAATCAACCCACTCTGTTGAGGGCCGACACGATGTGGAGTTGGGGCAAAGGCTGCTGAGAGTAAAGCTTTTCCAAGGCGTTTTGGCACGGAGTTGGTAAAAAATGGGGAAAAAAAATCAGTTTAAAAAATGCAAGATTTCACCCCAAATTGAACGGCGATCCTCAAGATTCGCCTGGGTGGAAGGAAACTCAGTATTGTTGCTTGAAAGATGATTTCTCCCTGGTTTTGTCCCTCCCCATGGGAAATGGTGGAGGRCAACTGCCAAAACCCCTGTATTTTGGGGTTTTTTACTTCAAATGCTAACAAAAGGGTGTGTTTCGCCTTAAAACGT